GGGGGGGGGGGGGGGGGGGGGGGGGGGGGGGGGGGGGGGTTAATAAGCGGATCACAGTGATCGTAAAAAGGGACGAAAAAAAGAAGAAGCATATACCCCTTTTTTCCAAATCCTTTAATTTCATCACTAATTTCTAACAAAAGTACAAAATCTTTAACAGATACACCGCAATTACAAACAATACATAGAACTAAAAAATTAAACTGCAAATTCGATTTGGAGTAATTTGAGAAGGTGGGAATGGGGCTTTTTGCCAGCATAAAGCATAATGCCCATTTTGAACATGGCCGCCCTGTTGATGATTTCATCTCCTGCCTGATCCAGAGGACCCCTTTGCTGATGGATCCCTGTGTAATATATACATTTAATTCAGTTTGGATTTAGCCCTTTATGTCTTTTTGAACGGTCACATCTCCAAAGTGACATACTTTGTGTTATAAATTGTACAAAGGTGTATTTTTCCTGGGTTATTAATGAGAGGGCGTGAAAAAATGGCGGGCCTCTGTTTCTCAACAGCCATTGCTGTCCAACTCTCTATGCCTCTGCAAATGGGGCACTAGTTACCAGAAGGTTATTAGGTCCATGGATGGGTGAGAGAGGGGCCCATTATGTAAACCACAGAGAGCCACAAAAGAGGCTAGAAAAAGGGAATAGGATGGGGATGGAGCGACCATAGTCCTGTCAGAGACTGTGTTCCATTCTCTAAGGGGAATCGGCAGTGGGTTGAGTTGGGGGCTGGTTTTGGTCTTCATCAGGACTGGATGCTAGTCCTGGGTCACCTGCCTAATGTTTTTCCGTCTCTCAAATGGCTTGACTCACCGACGGAGTCTTCGGTGCGTCGCAACGAGCGAGTTTCTGGATTTGACAAGGCCAAACGAGGACGCTGACCACACAGCGCTTATTCGGTTTGAAGCCCACAGTTAGCAGATCTGTGAATTTCACTTTCTTTTGCCTTTTAACCGAAATACAATCTTTTATCTGTACATCAGAACATCTCGCTAAAAAAGTCTGAGCTTGCATTTCTCTCCAGTTCCTACTTTATAATAATTATTAGTACAGCTTGTACTCTGATGCGAAGTCGGTTCTTCTTCCTCCTCCATCATTTGTCCCAACTTGCCGGGAATCCTCCCGATTATCTCACATCCCCCCCCCACCCACGTCTTCAGAAGGCGTGGGGCCCCACGAACACGGTCAAGCGCAGGACGGAGCTGCTCTGGTAGCTCATCAGGGGATTGACGGACACCATCTCCAAATCCAGGACGTACTCCTTGGGTCCGGTGACTGACCGAGCCAGAACCAGCATGGCGCTGATGTTGTTGATTTGCTGTCATGAGGGATGACGCAGAAGAGATAGCAAGTCACTGGTTTTGTAGATACCCATGTTATTAAATTATACTAAGCAGTGTGCGGGATCTTAATACCTTACCACCAGGGGGCAGTGATCACCATATTCTTACTGTGGTGTCATAGCTCACTGACTTTAATGACAGGAATATTAAATTTAAGCAGCTGATGTACAGATACAAAAGGAATAATCATTATCAAGACCTCATGCACCTTAAAATACTGATGTTTTCTGGAAGTTCAGTGAGCAAAATTCTATAACAAGCCAAAGCCTGACAGTTTCTATATCTGACATTACTGACCCAGGAAAATCATACAGCATGTCTGCAAATGTAGAGAACTTGTTTAGAGACTTAACAGCATTGATCTATGTTTTGTTGGTCTCTCCTCTCTTTCTCTGGGCCCATTGTAGGCTCCTTATTCGCACCTGACCTCTGTGTTCCAGAACCTCCGTGTTTGTTACATTTGAGACATTCCTTTGCCATTGTGACATCACAAAGCGCCAATTTCCCAAACCCTGTCTGCCAATCAGAGCCAGCAGTCTGAGCTGAGCCCGGCATACGGGGTGTCAAGGAATATCGGCTTTTGACTCGGAGCCTGGAGTGCGAAAGCACATTCCCGTCGGATCAGGACGGAGAGCCGGAGACTGTCTGGACTTAGCAAAAATGGGATTGGTGGAGCGATGGAAGAAAGAAACCCAGAGGAGTCAAAATGGAGAGATTAGGGTTAAGGGCTGGCAGGGCTGGACTCACCCGGATGTAGAAGTTGTCATTAGCGTCCCCAGAGCGGATGCGGAAGGTGTTGTAGGCCCCGGGGTAGACGCTGGTGGCCTGGACATGGAAGATGTCCGACGGGACCGAGCGCTCAGACACCACGCTCATGTAGCGATGCACGATGGAGAATGGCAGCTCCCGGCAACCGGGCTTGACGACGGGGCAGACACAGCGGCTGCGGTGGGACCAGAGTATCCGGAATCAACCATGCGATATCAGCCAGCCTGGCAGCAAGGGTGCAGGGGAACCAAACTCTTCAGAGGGCCTAGTTCCCTCCCCCCGCCCCCATGACCTTCTCTCAAGGAAGACTGCCTCAATATGCCCGGCTTGGTGTCTTTTACCGGAAGATTCTGCAAAATCTGTTCATGTTCAGCACGTGCCTCTGTGGCACAATCAGTCACTCTGCTGTGAGCCCGTTCCCCGTGAGAAGGCCAGCGGCTCTCCCGACATTTACACCAGCCCACGGCCCACACAATCCTTTCCCTAGTGGTCATGGGAGCCCAAACATCATTTTATAACCAAATATGGAGGCTTTTCTAAAATCCTCAGGACAAGTGGTGCTGGTGACAGAACCCACCGTGTCAAACTTAGAAAAGAGAGCAAGAGGGAAATGAGTGGATTTAATTTCCAATAACAGATGCATTATGGTGGTTTTAAAATGTTCATTTTTACTGGATGGGAGACAAACAGGAAGTATTGCGCACCTGAGCCTCCCGTACATGTGTGCCTGGACCTTAGGTGTGTTTTTGCGTGTGTGCTGCTGCACGTGTGTCTGTGCATGGCTACGTGCGTGTGCATGCATTCTCGCACACCGGTGCGCGTGAATCTCTGTTCTCTGGCTGCTCACTTGTCAGTGACTTGCACGTAGGGCTCCTGGCAACGGTTGGTGTCCACACAGTGGTAGCCCCCGTGGACGTTCACGCAGGTATGCCCGTCGGCACAGTCGTGCGAGCCTGTCTCACACTCGTCCACGTCTGAAAGAAGGCGAGAAGCGGGTGCGATGAATGACACGAGGGGCTGTCGCGGGAGGAACAGGGCTGAAGAATTCTAGAATTCCCCTCTGGGATCAGTAAAGTTCTAATTCTATGATGGCGATGTGGTGTGATAGTATGGATTCACTGGCCAGCAGGGGGCGTGGGGGTTAAGGCACCAACATGTAGCAAAAAATCCCAGGAAACCCTTTAATCTGATGCACAATGTGGTGCCGCATGAGACCAAAATACACAATGCAGAGGTGAAAAGTGTAAGCCACTTAAAAAGTAAATGACAGTCCTGTAAGTATTCACATCTGACAATTAGTACATTAAGTTTGCTTTGAAAAGGGATCACTAATTATTAGAATGATTTCTGCATGTGAGACATCCAAACACAGCAGTGGGCGACGATGACGGGGACGATGACGAATGAAATGTCCCCGCTACCTTGGCAGAGACGCGTCCCCAGTAGCTGGTAGCCTTCGGGACACACGCAGGAGAACTTTCCGGGCTCATTCATGCACCGGTACTGGCAGAGGTAGGTGGAGTAACTGCACTCATCGATGTCTGCCAAGGGAAGGGGAAACGGAAAAGTCCCATGCAGAGAGCATGATTAGGGCCGTGTACATACCGTCTCTCTCCCTCCCTCTCTCTCTCTCTCTCACACCGGTGGGAGTGCCTGTCGTCACAGCCGGACGGGAGGCGACGCCTTGCTTACCGTTACAGGAAATACCGTCTGGCCCCAGCTCATAACCCTGCTCGCAGCGGCACAGGAAAGAGCCGTACGTGTTGTAGCACCTTTGCTGGCAGGGGGTGCCCATCTCACACTCATTTACATCTGGAGGATGAAAAAAAGTGCACGTCCTTAACCATTGCGCCACCTGTTGGTGAATTTCATTTTTGTTTTTTTTGTTTTTTTCTGGCAAATTTAAATATATTTATATATATACGTTACGGGTAAGAGAACATTAGAAGAGCAACATTAGCTTTTAGGTTACAGCTAGGCTGATGACCTAATCCCTACCAGGAGGGACACTATGAGTGAGTTCTTGCTGTGTGCTGATTGGTTGGTCTCATATAGTCATGCATGTGTCACTAATGTTAATGCGAAACAGCTGGATGAGACTTTCAATCAAGCAAACAAACCAGTCAAGACAAACCACACAATTTAGCTCAGTACAGAAGTCTTTTAGTTTTAAATTAGTTTGTAAAGCTTGAAGTAGCTCATAGTATCCATCCTGACATGGATTAGGTGGTCACCCTAGTTACATCTCAGGCTGACAGGCAGGTGAGGGGGCGGGTCCTGACAGATGGGGGCGGGTCCTAACAGATGGGGGCGGGTCCTACCTGTACAGGACCGGTTGTTGCCTGCCAGCTGAAAGCCAGGCTCACACTGACAGGCGAAGGATCCAGGCATGTTGATGCATCCATGCTGGCAGTATCTGTAGCGGCATTCATCGATGTCTGGGGGGGGGAGGGGTAGAGGAGAGAAAAAGAGAATAGAAGGAAAGAGAGGAAGAGTGAAAGGGAGAGGAGGATGGCAAAAACAAAAGGAAGGCTGAAAATGAGAAAGGGGATGAATAACAAGCAAAGGGAAGTGAAGGAGAAGAAAAGAGAAGGAGACGGAGAAGAGGGGGGTGATGGCCAGCACAGGGGATAAACAGAATGAGAGATGACATGAGGATTCCAGGGCATGAAACGTGTCAGAGCATTAGGAGCACCACGTGGTCATGGGATCGCGTCCCACCGACACATTCGACGCCGATCTTGCTGTAGCCGTCGGGACAGTGACAGTTGTAGGTGCCATGGGTGTTGACGCACTCCTGGCTGGGCAGGCAGGTGTGGAGGCCAGTCTCACACTCGTCCACATCTGCGGGGGGGGTGTGGGGGGGTGGATGAATCAGTGGGGGCGTGGCTTGTCGGATGGTGTGGCCCAAACAGAAAGGTGTGACTCACCAACACAGCTTTCCCCTTGAGCCATGTACCCCACAGGGCAGGGATTGAAGGCCTCACTGGGGTGCATAGGAAGGCTTGCTTGTGATTGGTTTGCCTCCGGTCGACTGGACTGGGATTGGCCGAGCTCAGAATGCCCACGCTCTGATTGGCCGAGCTCCGCCTGGTTAAGCTCCAGCAGGCCGGGATGCTCAGGGGCGGTGATGACAGAGGCGGAGCGAGGGAGGCACAGGTAGCCACCATGGTGATTGAAGCACTTCATCTCGCCTTTGCAGGCTTCCGGAAAGGTCTCACACTCATTAATGTCTGATGGAGAAAAATCAGTGAAGGAGAGAGATAGGGGCTTCTATTAATATGGGAAAATAAATACTGTATAATAAAATACAGGAAAGATACGGAATTACGGTAATAATGGGAACTCAAAATCAATAATATGAGATTAAAGTAGCATATGTTAACGATTTAATTTTATTCGTTTAAGTTCTGCTGTACCGGCGCAGTAACACTGACTAAACTCGAGTCTCTGTCATTTTCAGTTTGTGTTTAGCGATGACGTGGCCACACCCACCTCGACAATGTCGAGCCTGTGCGTCCCACTGGTATCCATCTGTGCATTCCTGGGCAAGGTGAGACACACATACACACACCGGGGTCTTGAGGCTTATGTGCAGCACATTTCAAAGCTACATTTACTCACCACTGATTAGCAAAACGTAAGTACACTTTGGTCACATGGAATTCGAAGGGAACGTTTCTGCAAAACGCAAAGACTTAAATGGGTTTCGGCTTTTCTTTGTTTTCTTTATATTCGGCATTTCTTTATATTTATTTCTATTCATATCTTATTTTTATTCTGTTCATTGTTTTTTTTTTGTACTTTTTTGTACGTTTTGTTATATTTCACGCCACCACCTGCACCGAAACAAACTGGTTGTACAGTACTTGTTGTACTTGCCGAATAAAAGAATTTGGATTCTGATTCTGATTTATGGGGATGTAAGAAACGGAGTTGCAGAGTGAGAGGGAGAGAGAGATGGGGAGAATCATAGATAAGAGGCTGAGTGAACAGGGTGGGAAAAGATGATGAAAAACAAGTGGAGGAGCAGATGAGGGAAAAGAGGGAGAGAGACGGGGGGCGGGCGCGGGGATGGAGCGAGCGTCCCCCCTTTCTCTTACCGTGTAGTTGTCAGTTTCCACAGACAGCTGAGAAATAGCACAGGGGGGGAGGAGGAGGAGGAGGAGGGTCACGCGCACGCAGCACCGCATGCGTGCGCTTCTCATGCTCACGGAGACGCGGACAGGTACGCGGACACGTCCGCACGCTCTCTGCCAGACCGGGGGGGGGGGGCTGTGTTTGGCGCGATTGAAGCCTGTCAGCCACTCATACGGTGACACATGCGAATCACACACAGAGTAGGCTGACAGGTAAACAGATGCTGCAGTATTCCTGCTGTTGTGATCGCCGTGGGGGTGTCGAATCTGTAGGAGGGAGAGAAAGAAACAGGTTGGCATTAACTCCAGAATAGCATTGTATGCGGCACTGTATGCGGAGTTCGCCCCCTAGCGGCCGCGATATTTCTACAACACATTGTTCTAAAATCTTGCACGTGCCCTGCGAGGTTCTGGGCTGGCATCCCATCCAGGATGTACTCCAGTCAGGGGCGTGACTAGAAATCCCGGGCCCCCCTGACAAAATGTCACCTTGAGCCCTTCCATCCAAGATAGTCAAAATTTACATGATATAAGTTTAGAATTTTATGTATTCCCTCCCTCCGACCAGGAAAAGCAGTTATATGATTGACGGAAATAAGACAAGTAGAAAATGAGTCACTTGGAAGTACTAGGGGCCCTCACTCTGCATATTATCTCACAAGTTCAGCCTCTTAATGGCCGTGCTACGCTCAGTGCTAGCAAACAGATTGCTTGCATGTTAATGGAAAGATATACCATAAGTGACATCATTCTGAGGGAGACTGGAGATGAATCCTGTATATTGACAGCAGCTGGTAACCAGGGTGGCATGTTGGGCAACAGATGGTGTGTTTATGTCACTTCTCCATGGGTGTGGGTTCAAATCCCGCCTTGGCCGTGCATATGCACGCATGTCGCGTGTCTTCACTGTGTTTGTGGGGGTGTCTCCTGTGGTCTCCAACCTGATCCAGGTATGTTCTTACGTCTGCTTGTCAGCATGGACCCTATCAACCGCCCCCGAGGTTCTCGGTCAGGATCTGAGTCTCCGTGACCCAATCCGGATCAGCGGTTAGTGTAACCGAAATGACGTCGGCTTCCCTGCTACGCCAGTGACTTAGTCATGTGACCGGGCGGTTGAAGAAGTCCGGTAACGAATCCCCCAAATTATTAGTCCGTGAAATTTGGAGTGGGGCGGCCCTGCCATCTATCTAGAGATCGGGCCTGAACTGAACAAGGAGCCTCTGTTTAAGCTTTACAGTACCACTGGTCCAAAGAAAACAGCACACGTCTATGGGCAACAGAACCTGGGTATCATCCTGTCATTCCTTTAGATTCTCCCAGTGGTACGGAGATTAAATAAAAACTTTTTAACCTGGCTAAGTTAAACATCGATGCATCCTCACAGCTGCTTAGCCAATCCAGGGTCGGGGAGGGCAGCGGCAGCGGGGTAGAGGCGGAGCTTATCCCAGGCAGTACATGGCACAGGGCACACAGGATAGGATAGTAATTAAAGATTCCCAATGCAGGATAGGAGAGCGATACAGACTGGGTCAACTCCGAGGAAGCAGATTACGGCTGTAAATTAAATTGGCGTACTGACTACGCAGTGCTGATTCCATGGTTATCCTGACCTGTTTCCCTTTTATTTACACCACAGGTGTGTCGTTCAGAATGTCCTTCAAGGGACGAACAGGAATCCACCACAGAAATCCGCATGACCTCAGCACGTTTGGAAAAGAAATCATTAAAGGCCATTAGGCATGTGGTAAGACACCTCAACACATGGCCTCTTCCCCCAGCAGGAGACAAAAGGGGGGGGGGGAGGGGGGCAGATGGGGAGATAATAAAGGAGAGATGATTAAAGTGACCCCCCCCCCTGGGGAGGAGCCAGAATTGTTGTTGCTGAGGTATTTCATTAGCATAACAAGTATCCGGTCGTTGTGTCGCTTGTGCGCATAGCTAATAAAGGGAAACACTTTTTGTTGAACAACCAAAACCTACCCTGAGTGAGGTACATTTACATTCTAACAGCTGGATATTTTAGTGGGGCAAAAAAAAAACTCACAGGTACAACACTAACTTTCCTTCCAGATTTTGAAATTTTTTTAGATCAGAAATCTATGTACGTTGCTCTATATTACGCATCTTTCACCTAAAGGGCAATAAATGATATTTATTGTCTGCCTCTGTTTACCCAGCATGCCCTCTCATTTCCTGTGATGCATAGTGCAGATGGAACCCCATCGCAGGTACTGATTGACCGCGAGCTCAGCGCCTGAATGATGATTGGCTCAGTCACAGCCAATCGTAACGGGGCACGCAGAGGATTTAGACAGTGTCAGACACTACATGACAAGAGGTGTAATTGTTCAGGGTGCTGGAAATCTCAGGAATTCCTGAATAAAAAGCATAATCAGTTTTGTCATTCGAGGTGGACAGAAGGCCTTTTATGGCACAGGGCCTCGATCGATTTTCAAAGTAACTTTGGTAAATAAATAAAGTGGTTCATAAACACAGCGGCTGAATGCTGCAGCCAGACTGTGATTTTAAGTGATGCACAGTGTGACCGTATTTTAGTAACTTCACAAAAGCGATAACGACGGCTCTTTTCCCCACTACGAAAACTTTCCTGGCACGCTCAAAGCAAACGTTTGTTCAGAGGAGCGGAGAAGATGCACAGAATCGTAGACGGCACACTCACGTCTGCGCGCTGCCGGCCGGAACGTCGCTCCCTTACCCCTCGGTCCGGAGTAAACCGTTCCCTTCTGTTTGCACGGCGATGGCCAAGTGCGCTGCTCCGGGTCTCCGCGCGCTTGTCCTCCGGCGTCAGCGGATGGTGACGCATCCAGGGGGCCTCAGAGCGCAAAGTGTGAGACGGAGGGTTGTGCTGCCTGGAAAAGAGAGGGAGCGGGACGGCCCACCCTGAGCTCCCTCCCCCTCCCCTGACCCCCACTGCCCCATCCTCCACCCTGGCTCCCCGGAGATCCGAGATGCTGATCCTGGGCCCAAATGTCCAGGCTTCTGCATTCCTGATTAATCACCTTCCCGGGTGAGAGAGCCTGCAACTGAAACAAGGAGATCCAGCCCCCCCCACCACCACCTGAATGCAATTGCTCTCAGACAACCCCCCCCCCCCCCCCCCCCCCCTAATAAAATACTCCCCAACACCCCCCCCCCCCCCCCAATTGCCGCCCAGAAACATGCTATCGCAAACACCTCCTTCTGTCCAAACACCCGACAAACTCATCACCCATGGGCCTAATTCCCCACCACCACCCATAATTCTTGCCCCCCCCCCCACTAAAAGACTTGCCCCCCTCCTTTAACTGCCCCACCCACATTTGCTCCGCCGTAGCCAAATATTTATAGCATGAGAAGAAGAGTGGAGGAATGCGGTGAGATAGGAGGGGAGAGATGGGCAGACCGGGTGTCATTTTGGGCCGATTCTTTATTCCTTTGATGAATATTTAAACTGGACGTGGTTATTGGGCCGCTGAGCGGTGCCGGTGCGGGGGGGGGGGCACGAGCGTGGGAGACCGGGGAACCGAACACGAGAGGTGATCGGCACGGAGGCAGATTCCCACGGAGACACACGTCGACACAGAGCGTCTCCCCCCCCACCCACCCACCCACAAACAGTCGTGGAATACCTGCAGGTAACGGAGGAGGTGCCCCCCACATGTGCAGCAGGTTTCACGCACAGCAGTAGCGAGCTGGCGGGCTTTTCACATGCCGGAAACTTCTGAGACCATTTGTAGTGACCGGGGGGGGGGGGGGGCCCCCCTCCCGTAAAAAAAGGGTTTTTTTTGGAAATAAAAACTCGGGGCCCAGCGCCCCCCCCCCTTTCTGGTCCGGCCCCCCCCCCCCCCCAAAGACCAGCACCACCCACTTCAGACTTTCACCTCTCCGTCCTTGGTGTGCAAACACCACATAAACACCATTATGTTTGTACTTATATCTTTGTGGGGACTCTCCATTAATTTCTATGGGCAAAACCCTAATCCCAATAATGACAACATTAACCCCCACCCAGCCCTAACCTTAACCATAAGTAAACAGACAAAATGCAAGACTTTTGGCTATTTTAGTGTTTTGATTGCAGTCACAGATATTTATAAAATTGAGTTGCACCTTGTGTGGATCAGAAGAATTAGTCCATAACATCAAAATAACAGGTTTTTATCACACTGTGGGGACATTTAGAATAAACTGTTATAACTTGCACAGAGATGGGCCAAAAAAAAAAAGATTTTCTACCGAAATGAAGCACGAAACAGAGGATGGAGTTTGCATGCTGGGAAGCGGGCAAGTAGAGACAGACGCGCACGTACACACACTCGTAAAATAGTCATGGCAAATGTGAGCATCTGCGCGTATGATCCCCACCCACAAGACAAATGAATACACCTCCACAAAGCCAGCCACACCTTCACAAGCGCCCAGGAAGGACACAGAGGTCACAGAGCGGCAAAGACTTTTAATGCTGAGATTATTTAAACAATATCATGGAACTCTGCTTATATTTCATCCACAAGGAAAATTAGATCCCATGTATGAGATGAGACGTAAGGCAAAGCAGGCAGGGATTCCAGTGAAGACTCCTGAAGAGAGATTGGATGGACAGATTCATCCATGGGCTTGGTGTCAAACATGACTGCAGGCTTCTCTCCAGAACACTCTCTCTCTCACACACACACACACACACACACACAGACACACAGGTTTGTAATTATAGCTTTGTGGAGACTCTCCATTCATTTCTATGGGGAAAACATTAATCCCAACAAGATGTCTTTAACCCTGTACCCAGCCCTAACCTTAACCATAAATAACCAAACAAAACGCAAGACTTTTGGCATTTTTACTTTTTTGATTGATTCCCACAGCATCAAACAAAAGGGTTGTATTACATTGTGGGGGACATTTGGTCCCCACAATGTAATATAAACATAATCCACACACACACACACACACACACACACACACAAACCAGCACGGATTAACTTGAAGGAGTCCAGAGTGTGGGGTTAGGGTTAGATGCAGTATATAAGGAGGGGGGGGGGGGTCCCTGGCTGTCCATCTGTCAATCCAGCAGGGCTCAATGAACTGTACAGCAGGAGTAAAGCAGGATGGGGGGGGGGGTGTTTAGGGAGGCATTTTTTTAAGGATGAAAAAACTAATTGGAAAGCAGAAGTCCCTCCAAAGCCTGCTACCCAAGACTAGTCTTGGGTAACAGAGTGTTGCAGAGACCATAATGGAAGTAAAATTGGACTTCATACAGGGACTAGAGTCATTTCTGGTTGATGTAACCATCCAGCGTAAACTGAAATCAGCTCCAAGGTCGAGGGGAGTCAGCATGACACACTCTGCAGTCAGGAAAATCCCCCAGATCCCACAGTCGCCCTCTGTACCAGATCGGCGAACGGCTCTGACGTCTTTGGAGAGTCTGGAGAGGTTCTGGAAACCAGAGTTGCGGCAATTAAGGAGGCGACGTCACCGGTGGATGGCGGGATTAGGAGGCTTTTACAGACATGTATGACGGGGCAGCAGATTTCCGTGCGATGCCTGTACTCCGATGGTTGAGTAGGCTCCTGTTTCTTGCTTTAAAGTTCTCCATCTCTTTAACACCTTGATCATACTTCTCATGGCCGCACACACAAGACTGGGACAGGTGAAGGGAAAGGAAATAGCACAGAGGGGCATTTTTGCATCGAATTATCTGACACTTTAATCCAAGGCAATTTAGAGCAGAGGAAAGGATTATAATCCGTGTGCATTCTTCAGGACTTGGGCCCATAACCTTTGTTAGCACAATGCATTATTCATTGAGCTACAGGAGCAGAGGTAGAGAGATCATGGAACAGTACAAGAAGAATAAGATGTGGAATCTTATTGCTAAGCAGGAACTCTGTTCAGGGTGTTGCCATAGATACCATCTCTTCCTTACATTCTCAGAACAGCGAGACACTGCAGGGTGACATCATCCTGTATAGTTTTATTCCGGGTTTCTTACTGTTTCGTGTTTTTTAATTAAAAAACGCCTGGACGATAGTCATTCTTAAGAAAGACTGAACACAACCAGATAGCCATCTACCAAAAAATATTTTTTCAAACCACTTATAAAGGTGAGAGTCACACTAAAATGAATAATAATAATAATAATAATAGTTGCTGTTGTTGTTGTGGGGACCCAAAGCTTCTGACCATACCTACTGCACTCCTGCACACCTCAGGAACACCTACATGTACGTCCAGACCTCTTTTCTTGGTCCAGCATGTCCTTATCCAAAACTAAAACATTGAGGTCCTTTAGACCATGCAAGAACTTCTCCAGGTCCACATCCATGTCCTCTGCCACATCAACTGATGGTCCCAGAGAGTCTGGGGCTGGAGAAGCAGAAGAACAGTAAACGAAAGCTTCTGAGGTCAAAGGTCAGAGCTGCAGATTTTTATCAGCTAAACTGGAGCTGAACTGTCAATATGGTGATGTTTTATATATGAAAGGAATTCACAGGGTGTTTCCCAATATGCATATTTGACGGTACTTGTGTTGCCGCGTACCTGTTTTGTGTCATCTTCCATTGCCAAAGACCCCGGATGTTGTTCTTGTCCCAACCCAAATACCAAGAATGCATCGATTGCATCCTCGCCAAACGAGATCAATCCCATGATTCATTGTGTCCCAAGTTCGTTCTTGGACGGTGAGTTAGCAAGACAGGTCACGCCAAGACCACAAGTACGATCTTTGCGTCCTTAGTATTGTGAGACACCCATTGTTCCATAACTGCTTCTAATTCACAAAAGTTCCAAGCATAATAAAAGCCGTCCGGTAAAAAAGGGCAGGAAATCAGTGGGTGTGGCTACCCAGAATTCCCCTTACCCACGGCTCCCGCTCAATCAGCTGACCACACAGAAGGCAAAACCCTGGAAGGAGAGGTACCGCAGCCTTCTATTGCCGGTCTTAAAACACGTGTTGGCGAAAAAAAACGATATGGCGGCAAAGTCCCAGAGGGAAGACAGAATGCAGAAAAGGAGCGCGGGAAGAGGGGAAGGAGGCAAGAAAGGAGAAGAAAGAGAGAAACGGGGCAGCAAGCACTGCCCTCTCCCCCCCTCTCTGTTAGAAGGTTCTGGATCAATCTAATCTAATTTTACCACAGTGTAGTTTTTGACCAGTCCTATTATGTTGGATAGGGTACTCTCACCTGGTCAGTGCATGAGAGCAGGATGTGTTGATATATATTCTCCACTAGGGGGCCTTTGAGCTCCTCTGCGACTCTGAACACAGGTTTAAAGCCAACGAACTGAAAGAGGGCACCATCGAAAATAAAAGGTGAAACGTACACTAGACTATTAACACAGTATTAATGATTAATGATGGTGCTGGTCGCTCCGCCAAAGGGCGCCTGCAGCTCTCCAGCGCCACCGTGGTCTTGGCAGTGATGTCATCCAGCTCCCCTAGACAGCCCCCTCCCCTGCACCTCCCTCGCAAAAGCATCACTGAGCGTGTTATACCTGCAGGGCGCACGCACGCACACACGTGCACACACGCACACGTGCACACACACAGACACACACACACGCACACACACGCACACACACACACAGACACACACACACACAGGCACATTTCAGGTTACTTTACATGTATCTTCCGAAGTGAACAACAGGGGGCGCACACCGTTATCCTGGGAGATGAGTCATCGCATACCTTTTCTTCCTGTTCCCCGCGTGATCTTTGTTGTATATACAAGTGCACCCCCCGGTAAGAATTCCCAGACCCTGACTCCCCTCCCAGACAACAATTAAAATGACAGACTTTTGTTTTCACTCCCCCCCACCGTTTCTGTTACGCCTGTCTCCACTCTCACCCCCCCCATTGTC